GGTTTTTTTTTTTTCTGAATAAAAAAAGATTCTACTAACAAGGCGCTGTGTGGTTTTAGCCTGGGTGTCAGGTACCATGATTTGTCTCTATATAATTTACAGAACTCACCAACATGTGTTTGCCTCCATGGTCAAAACCCAAGTCTATCTGGCCTAGAGGTCCAGCTTTCAAGTGGCCCTTGGCTCATCTGTGTGATAGGTGACACAAAGGCTATGGAATACTGCCTTCCAGATCAGAGAATAGGTCCAGGCCTGTGGGCAAGGCAGGGTCATCTGAGTCATGGTAAATGCCTACTGGGGCTGTCCCCAGGACTATAGGTTACTCTCCCAGCATCCTCTGCTATCCTTTAGGATAATCACTTTTCCCCTTTTGTCCTAAGTATAAAAAAAAAAATCACCTGTGTGAAATAGATCACATCCTTAATCCAGAAAAAAAAAACAAACCACCCAATTTTATTAACTCATGAAGACCCAGTTCCTTACCCAACTCCCTTCAAAAAGGTTAGGTGAGGAAAAAACCTGGGGCTGGAATGTCTCCCTAACACTCAACTCAGGGAAGGCGGGAGAGGGGCTGTGCAAATGTGGGCTAAAATGGGGATAGTGTTAGATTAGGATGACACTAGAGGTAGAAGGAGAAGGTGGGACATCTGTAGTAGACCCAGAAAAAACAAGGGGGGCTGGGGCTAGGGAGCCAAAGGATGTCGGGAGAGAGGGGCTGGAGCCCAGGAGTGGGGTTCGTTCTGAGGCAGGGTGGTCCCTAGTGTCTCCTTGCTCTTCATCACCCTCTTGCTCCTGAGTTTCTTCCCCCTGATCCTCTTCACCAGGCCCCCGATGGACAGGCTGCTTGCATATGGGGCAAGTCTTCCGGGTCTGAGTGAGCCAAGGGTCCACACAATGGCTATGGTAGGCTGTGAAGAGAAATGAGGTGAGGCACCTGAAACCTGCTAGAAGTGGGGTTATGGATACAAGGGGTGAAGACCTCACCGTGAGAACAAGGGAGCACCCTCAGCTTGTCCCCTTCCTCATACTCATCCAGGCAGATGGCACAGACATCATACTGGTCTCCTGGGAAAGGAAGAGAGGCATCATTCACTGAGCCTGCTAGGACTTCACTCATTCTAGAGACCTATGAAAGGACTGTTAAATGTCAAGTCTGAACCAACTCATAGCTGACCCTCTAGTCTTTTCAAAGACTTAAGTCACATAGGAAGAGACTGCCTGTCGCTCTTCGTGGAGTACCTGGTAGATACGAGTTGGCAGCACAACTTCTTACCACTGAGCCACTACTGTGATAGAATGAAGTTCTGCAAAATGAGATTCCTTGGTCTATAGCATCAGTGTAAACAGGCAGGATAAGGCCAGGGCAGTTGTGGAAGAATTTGGGGTAAGAGGAAATAAGCAAAGGTAAGAAAGGAAGTGGTTTTCTTTTTTAAAGGGGGGGTAGTGAGAGGAGTAGCAGGGGGGAAGGGCCACTGCTATAGCCTAATATGGGCACTGGAGGCTGCAGGGTGCCTCAGCCCTTACCTGCTCCTTATCTGGCTGAATTTTCTTCATGTCCATCTTCTCTCTCATAAGCAGAGCCTGTCTTTTCTATCTTCCCCTACTCAATTTTCTGAGCAAACTTTTTGATTAAAGTAGAAACCTTTGCTTTCTACTTCCTGTCCTGCTTGCTTTTTCATGTTCCTTGTTTTCATGATGTTTTAAGTTAGAGGAAAATAAAGCATCTCAAGACAACCTGAAAGGGAGCTCTGGTGGCTTAGTGGCAAGAAGCTGCGCTGTAATCCCGAAGGCACATGGTTCAAACCCACCAGTTGCTCCACTGGAGGAGGGGCAATCTCGTATGCCAGTCAGATCCGATTCAATAGTACTCCACAAGAAAAGGATGGGGGGGGGGGGAAGGACAACCTGACAGCTCTTCCCACCATCTATCTATAGCTTCAGAATCAGCTATAGGAAAGCAACCCTTCCCCTAGTACCTCTTACCCTTCTGATAGTCATGTGTGGGAATCTGTTTCAGCTGCTCTTTGGTAAGGCGATTCCGCTGAAGTCGTTTCCGGTGCTGGATACAACGAACTATCTAAGAAGTAGTTTAGGAAAATGGATAATTTAGTCCAAAACTACTTGACTTCCCAACGCCAGGCATACTGTGGTCTTAAAGGCCTCAGAGCTTTTTCCAGCATAACTTTATGAGCTACTCACCATCACTGTTCCCATGGCCAAAACCAGCAGTCCTACAATCCCTGTGAAAGGGATAAGGTAATAGCCCAGGGGGAAACTATTGTCGGGAACCAGGAGCACTCGAGCCCTGGGGGAAAAAAGAGGTGACTGTCAGGGGCAACACAAAAGGATAAAGGACATAGTGACCCTGGACAAGGCCCATGAGGGAGTAAGAAGAGATCAGAGAGCTTGAGAATCAAAGGTTAGGACAATGAAGCTTAGGTTCCAGGTAGGCATAGAATTGCCAATGGAAGAGCAAAAGATGCAAACGTCCTACCCCTTCTCGTAGACAAAGAGGGCACGCAGGTACTCAGAACTCCTTTCCCCAATAAACACGGATGGGATCCAGATCTGCTGCTGGATTTCCTCTGTAGGAAGCAGGGCATCACAGCAGGATTTGCTTCTGTTCACTTAGCCTTCAGTCCTCCCACCACCTCTCAGATTGGGAACTACTGAAAGCCCAATTCATACATTACCACTTACCACTATTCCACACCATACTGAGAAGTTCATTGGAATTCACATTGTGTACAACAGCTGCACCATACCCAGCCTTCTGAGCATTTAAGACCTAGTGAGAAGGGAGGGGATAAAGAATCACATGGGCCTTGCCTCCCTTCATTCCTGGTGATCTTTTCACCCTTGGGTTCCCAGCTCCCACTCCACATTCAGCAACCTTGAGGTCAAAGTTGCAGTTGAATCTTCGAAGCAGTGCAATAAAGACTGACCCATTGACCGGGGCTGGGGGTGGTGGGGCAATAGGGCTGCAGGCATTAGCTGGATGAGCCTCCACAAGAAAGCCCTGAGAGAGAGAAGCAAATTACCATTGAAGGTTTCCTCCTTAGGTTTAATTCACATAGCGCATTAGTCCTCATATGCACATCCTTGACACTTGTCATTCCTGGGTCTAGGTATTTCACCGCAATCTCTTCTTAGGATACAATTTCAGCAAACACCTCTTTACAAGATCTTCCCCACCATCGTTCTTTTCTCAATTGGCCAAACAAGTAGTCCATACTACATACAAAGTAACTTGTTTTTCAGCATCCACTCATCCAATTTGGATAGTAAGTCTGTCTAGCCAAGTCATTTTCTTCCAAATCCTGCCTCGCATTTTTTTCAATAAGCGGAGAATATTCTCTGCTCATTCCCATTTCTCCCAAACCAGCTCACAAACAACTATACTATGTGTTTGGCTTAATTTTTGCTATTGGCATTCTTCACAATGTACTACTACATAATAGCTTATCTAATGCAATCTTTGCAACTTAAAACTGATCTCTAAACTGATTAACCCACTTAAGGCCTTGTGGTACAGTGATTAAAGTCTTGGACTGCTAACTGAAGCAACCCACTAATAACTATGCAGAACTATGCAGCAGTCTACTTGCTCAAGACTGACAACTTTGGGAACTTCATAGGGCAGTTTCAGCTGCCTGATAGGATTGCTAGTGAGCTTGGGTGGCGTAGTTCACTGTGAGCTGAAAAAACTTTTCTGGTGGCTCAAATCCACCAGCAGCTCCAAGAAAGATGGGCAGTATCCTCCCACTGTAACATACAGACTGGCAAACACAGTGTGTGTGTGTGGGGAGAGGGTCGCTGTGATCCAGAACTGATTGATGACAATGAGTTACTCTGTTTTTTAACAGGGTCTCTGTACTGAATTAATGACTACAAGGGACTTTTTCCCTTCCCCTTTAACGAATTTATTTCCTCACAGCTTAGGTGGCTAGAAGTCTAACTTCAGAGTGCTGGATGTTACTGTATCTTGGGGCGGGGGGGAAGTATGCAGATAATTAGCTTGTCTAAAATCTAAAATCAGACCAGAGATTCTCTGGCTCCAGGGATCAGTTAAGCATCACACTGACAACACAGCAAAATGTCTTTTCTCGGTCCACTTTTCAGGATCCCTCACAAAGCTGAGAGTTGAAGGATGGGCACTTTTGTCTTCTCTCACTGCTTACGTACCTGAACACACCTGGCATGCTCTTCCTTCCTATCTCCAGCCTCACCATGACAAGGCTCCTTGCCCAAGATAGAGGATTTGAGAAAATAAGAAAATCACCTGGAGTCCCTCTTGGCTCAAGGTAGCCCCAAATAGAGCCGGAAGGTCTGCAAAATCCATGCTGGCGTTGTGATCCGAGGTCTGCAGACAAGAGAGTTCACGTTCCCCCTCTGCCTGAAACCCTCCCTAGAACCCTACTCCCACCCGCCCTCGGACTCACCGCTCTAATGAGCCCCCGGATGGGGGCCGCTCCCCACAACACAGCGGCCATAACCACAGGAAGCGGGAAGGCCGCAGGGTGCATGGTAGCAGGAGGGGAAAGGATGAGGAGTCGGGCCCTGGGTAGCAGGAGCAGAAACCCGAGTTCTGCGTCCTCCTCGCCCTTCCTTCGGACTCCCAGGGGTCCCCCTACCCCCAGGTTCCACTTCCTAGCTACATGGGGGAATCGGAGGGGCCTCAACTCGTTTCTGCAGAGCTGAGAGGGAGAGACACTGGATATATCCTTTCCTAGTCTGAACAGAATACGGGGAGAGGAGATGGAAGGCAAACAAGGGTGACAGAAAAACTTCTGGGAGGGTGGGGGAGCTCAAGAAGGTGGGACTTCCGGCCAGGTGGGCAATCTTCCTAACCCCTGGAAAAGGGTTTCCGGTAAAGAAAGGCAGCGGCTTCAACCATCTGACATTCAAAATGAAGGACTTCCGGTCCTAAAAGGCCGGTTAAGAGAAAGGTTAGAGGTGGAAAGAGTGCCTCGTGAAGATGTAGGGAGCACAGATGCCTCAAAAAGACATTTACTCAATAGTTTTAGGGATTTTGAGGCTTCCCTGTTTACCAACCTTTAGTCCCCGCTGCCGTCGCCTCTGCCTCCGCGGTATTTTCAAGTGTCGCGAGAATACTCACCACATTTTTTCCCCCTCCCCTCCCCCGCCCTGGCTCAATATTTGCTGTATCGCTAAATATTGCCTAACTAGCTGCCCCAATCTCGCGAGAATCTTCACTTTAATGCAAACACTTTAATTTCCCGCGGTTCCAATTTGGTGAAAACTGCGCCCATAATCTCGTTTCCCAGTATGCCACGCCTTTTCCCCCACCCTTCCCTTAAGCTCCTCCTCCGACACCCAGGTCCCTTTGCGCTGCGCGCCTACGCCGGCTTTCCGCGGGTGCCGGACCTGTGAGCCCGAGGGGCGTGCGCGCGCGCGCCCTCGCCCCTGTAGCGCGCTCGGTGTCACCTTGGGCGCGAGCGGAGCCGCGCGCGCACTGGACCGAGAGCCGAAGGGGCACTGAATTGGCGATGGCGGCGACGGCGAGTCCTGGGGCTGGCGGGACGGACGGGAAGCCCCGTACCTCCCCTAAGTCCGTCAAATTCCTATTTGGGGGCCTGGCCGGGTAAGCTCAGGCCCCAAGGATGGGAATGGAGGAGGAAGGAACAGGCGCAAAGAACCGGGCCTTGTTCATGTTTGGCTCTGTTGCAGTGAACCAAGCAGGCACTGGGGTCAGCGTGATCCCCAGTATATTTCAAGGCCCTTAATGGACCCCGCACGAGACTGCATGCAAGATCTTTGCACGTTCCCCGCCGTGCCATAAGTTTCCCAGCTCATTGCTTGTGTTCGCCAGGCTCTATGTGGTCCCATAGACTAAGGGCCCTCTGCCAGACTACGTGGAGGCCCAGTCACGCATGCCCTCTTACCCTCGCTCTGGAATGCACTCCCGGGCCATTGTTTAACCCCATGGAGCTGCATGAACTCTTCCCATTGCATGACCCCTTCTGACTTTTTCACATGCATATTGATGCTGTGCCAGCCAGGCAGCCAACACTTCAGTATCCTGGCTTTGTCCTTTATGACTTCTCTGTTGCCAGACTTTGTTGGGTCTTGATACATTGGTGACACCTGGACTTTGACTTTAGTCCCATCTTTCCCCAGGATGGGAGCTACAGTTTTCGTGCAACCCTTGGACCTGGTGAAGAACCGGATGCAGCTGAGTGGGGAAGGGGCCAAAACAAGGGAATATAAAACCAGCTTCCATGCCCTCACAAGCATCCTGAAGGCAGAAGGACTGAGGGGCATTTATACTGGGTACCAGGGCCGCAAGATATGGGAGGGGAGGTTGGATTGGCAGCTCCACACCTTGACCTGATGAACTGACCCCTCGTTCCACAGGTTGTCAGCTGGCCTGCTGCGTCAGGCCACCTACACCACCACTCGCCTTGGCATCTACACAGTGCTTTTTGAACGGCTGACTGGGGCGGATGGTACACCTCCTGGCTTTTTGCTGAAGGCCCTGATTGGCATGACTGCAGGTGCAACTGGTGCCTTTGTGGGAACACCAGCTGAAGTGGCTCTCATTCGCATGACAGCTGATGGCCGGTGAGTTCCAGGCCTGAGCCTGCCCCTAGCTCAATGCTTGGATTCTGGAAAGAAAGGATTAATTTGTACTGCCTTGCCTGGAATAGAGCATTCACTTGTTCTGACTTTCCTTTCTTTGCTTCTGTGGGGCAGGGTGGGCCATCCTGAGCTTGAGCTTTTCCTGCCTTCCCACCAGGCTTCCGCCTGACCAGCGCCGTGGCTACAAAAACGTGTTCAATGCCCTGATTCGAATTGCCCGGGAAGAGGGAGTCCCCACACTGTGGAGAGTGAGTCGACTGGAGGGGCTGGAGACATGGGGGACATGGGATCTGATCTTGGGCATTTCTGACTCTTTCCCCACTTTACCATATCTCAGGGCTGCATCCCTACCATGGCCCGGGCTGTCGTTGTCAATGCTGCCCAGCTTGCTTCCTATTCTCAGTCTAAGCAGTTCTTGCTGGACTCAGGTGAGACCTAGAGTGAGTGAGTCCCTTAGCTCCCAGCCTGGTCAGGCCAGTTCCAAGCTGACTGTATGCCATTCCCCAGGATATTTCTCTGACAACATCCTGTGCCACTTCTGTGCCAGTATGATCAGCGGCCTTGTCACCACCGCTGCTTCCATGCCTGTGGATATTGTCAAGACCCGGTGAGTAGTGTGTAGGCTGAGGACTGAGAAGGGTGAAAATATCCCCTTCATGTGTCTCATTCCCGCAACTCCCTTTCCAGGATCCAGAACATGCGAATGATCGATGGGAAACCAGAATACAAGAATGGGCTGGTGAGGAAGCAAAACCAGTGGTTTAGGCTGGAGGGTTGAGTACCCCGGGAAGCGTTGCAGAGGTATCAGGGGAAATGGGACTGGGCTTTTGATCTGACTTCAGCCTCTTTTCCTGCCTGCCTGCCCGTCTGTCTAGGATGTCTTGGTGAAGGTCATCCGCTATGAGGGCTTCTTCAGCCTATGGAAGGGCTTCACGCCATACTATGCTCGACTGGGCCCTCACACCGTCCTCACCTTCATCTTCTTGGAGCAGATGAACAAGGCCTACAAGCGGCTCTTCCTCAGTGGCTGAGCCGGGTGGGGGAATCAACACTCCCATAGTCAGTGTGCCCTGGGGTACTTGAACTTTGCTGCCCTGGGTCCCTCTATTTATTTTCCCTCCACAGTGTGTGGTTTCCTCTTGCCATAAAGATCTCTAGTCTCTCTATCCCTGTTCCACTTTGCCCAGCTTGTCCTGATCTTTTTGACCTTTCTGAGGATATCTGTCCTCTTCGGTATTAGTTTCAGGACACACAGGAAGCAGAAGGCCCCGTTCTCAGTGAAGATATTAAGATCAAGCCAAGGGGTCAGGAAGGTACCCCACAAGCTCCTCGCAATGGTCAAAGAGACTCTTTCCACCTCATTGAAGGCTTAATAAATTGAATTGATGATACCACCCCCAGATCTGGAGCATTGTGGGGGCGAGGAGGGGAGGAAACTGGACAGGGAACCTGATGATCTTGGAGTACAGGAACTAGAGTTTTTCAGAAATACTAAAGAAAAAACACCTGCTTTTGTGCGAATGCTGTGTAAATCAGCCAGGCCACCAAGGAATGAGGATGAGGAAGCCCAGAACTCCAGGCCTTGTGTTTTGCTTCTTCACCTCCTGCCCAAGAAATTGACGACTAATGCAAGTCAACTCACACAACCCATGCAAAAGTCTTTCGGATCTGGTGCTTTCTTTTGCAGCCTAGTGAAGAGGAAGTCAAGGGACTTAGAGAGGAAAAGAACTTTGACGTTTGGAATGAGTGGAGTATGAGGTGGGGCCAAGGGAGGGTGCTGGCCAGAGACTTCATCTGTCTTCTTATTGAGGAAGGTCACGGCCTTGACTGTTTTTTAGATGTGTGGTTCACAGGCCCTACCCTCAAGAAACATAAAAACTTCTTAGGGCACGAGAAGGTCAAACTGAGAGAAGAGACAGACAGCAGAAGTCTGAGGGCCTTGTGCCAAGCCAAGGGACAGGCAGGCAACAGGTGGGAGCTGTCCTCTTGGCAGACTCCCTTTGTGGACACAAGAGTTGGAGCTCAGCAACCTGGTGCTTCTGCTTATTTGCTCCTCCCCATGCCTCCTTTATCCTCACTCCATGCATACCCTGTGCTGGGCCATAATGTTCATTTTGAGACACTTGCAACCTGGATTTTGTCCTTAAGTTCTAAATTCAGAGGGAGTAATCACAAAGAAGGGGTTGGAAACAGAGACTGGAGCAATAAGAGGATAGAGTCTAAGGTATCTTGGAGCCCTGGCCTAGCCCAGGACAGACTGGCTGGAGGAGGAAGAGGGAGCAGGGGTAGCTCGTCTGGTTACAATGAGGGCAAAAGCTTAAAGGGTAAACTGTTGAGTAAGTAAACAACTGTATGATTGCTGTGGAATAGACTATGAAGTGGAAAGAGAAATGAGGGTAGACTGTTAGATGGAATCACTGTGTGGAAGTCCTTGATGGGTGGTTTGGCCTCTATCCAGAGAAGAGTTCAAAATAGAATTGTCAGATTTTTTCAAGTTTGGAAGATCTAGTGCCATCTGGGAAATGGGTCTCAATGGAGCCAGGAAAGCTAAGCCTTTTTATCCCCATTCTCATGACCCGAAACCCTGGGTTGACCTGTAGCTGGGCAGCGGGAAAGAAAGCCCTGGCAAGAATGGTAAGAGGAATGGCAGAATCTCTGGCAAGAGGAATAAGTGGTTCCATTTCCAGTGGAATATAACTTGAGAACAGAAAGCCCGAGACCCTTGAGTAAAACCCACTGAGATAGGGCATGTGGTCAGCTCCATTTCTGGTCTACAGATAGGAGCAATCCCCACTCCACCACCATCCCAGTACTGCTGACTGTGGGCAGTCTGTCTCAGCAGTGTCTCTAAAGACAAGGGAGATTAATGCTTTTCAGCTGGACTGAACTCAGAGTGGCCTGGTGAGTGTCACCTATAGAAGAGAGGAAGGTCATAGCTCACACCTTAGTGGAAGTGTAGCCTTAAGACTAAAGGTTCATTGGATGAGTAGGAGGCTGTTCTGCCTTGATGGGTACCCCAGCTACTATCTTTTACAGAACAAGTTTTTTGGTTATTATACAGATGATGATGGAAAATGCTAAACAGAGAAAAGTAAAAACCACCAATCTTTTACACCTCTGAGACAACCAGTACTCCAGTGTTGAATCTGATTAAACTTTATTCTACACATGGAACATGAAGGAACCATATGCTGTGCTCTTTATTACATTTTCTTAAAATTCTTCCCAAACGTGATGGTAATAAGCCCGCGATCTAGGGAAGCCCCTCTTCCCCCAGAGCAACACAGCAGTCTGGCCCACCCAATTCCATCTCCCTACTCCTGGATTGCTGGATCTGAGGTATGTGCCTGTGATATGAACAAGAGACTTCTGATAAAAAGAAACAAAACACAAACCCCAAACAAAACAACCTGACTCTTGGCTCATTACCCATCCACAGCTAAATTCTTGTAGCAAAGCCCCTCAAAGCTTCTCTCAAGGTCCCCAAGCTGCTTGCCCTCAGAGACTGTGGCCAGAGTACCTGAGACCCACTGTGCCTAACAGATCTTGACCACGACCCAGACTCAGGGCTGAGGGCCACTGTCTTGCCACTAGAGGCCCCACACGGCCATTGGGCCTTACCCACAGGAAGAGGCTGGAGCGGAAAGTAGGCAGTGACCCCTGAAAAAACAGCAGCCAGGCCCGGGGCACAGTCACTTGCCTTCCCCTCTGCAGCTCCAGGTGAGCAGTATGTATAGCTTCAGGCTGGCCACGGGCCTGGGGTCTAATATTCTGGAGCTGGAGCAGCAGCCAGATGAGGATAGCAGAGGCAAATAGGAGCCAGAAGAGACTCAAAACATAGAAGCCCAAGGGAAGGAGGCAGCAAAGGTCAAAGTCAAGGAAAGTGTCACTTCTAGGGCCATCCAAGTGTCCTTGAGCCAACCCCTGGACATTCAAGAGGTTTACAAGTTCAGAAACAGTTGTTGTGAATTCTAAGGTAGTAGAGAGTGAAGTGAATTCTACAGGAGTTAATTTGGTGGGTACTGGGGTGGTTAGGATTGTGGTAGGCTCTAGGGTGGTGGGGGCTGGAGTGCTGGGAGCTGGGGTGATGGGGGATGGGGTGGTGGAGCCTCTGGTGGAAGGTGGGGTGGTTGGGGCTGAGGTCAGGGCTATAGTGGGGGCTCTTGTGGGAAGTGTGGTGGTTGGGGCTGTAGTGGAGGTTGGAGTGATGGAAGCTGGAGTGGTGGAGGCTGGGGTGGTGGGGGCTAGGGTGGTGGGGGATGAGGTTGAGATTGGGATGGCTGGGGTGGGGAGTAGGGTGATGGGGGCTAAGGTGGAGTCACTGAGTTCTGGCATTTTGGAGAGTGTGATAGATTCTGGGAATGTGGTAGGATCTGAGATCTCTTCACTTGGGACTGTGGTCTGTCTGGTAGGTTCTTGGAGTGAAGGCAAGTGAAAGGTTTGGCTCCTTGGAGAAGTAGTGAGTTCTGGGGAGAGTAGGCCTCGTTGGGCTGTATGGACTTTGGTATTGGGAGAGAACTTGACCACAACCTTTGTGGTGAGCTCCTGTCCCCTGTAGTAGTCATAGTCCTCAGCAGCATCACCAAGGGTGGGGCAGCCCTTCTTGGAATAGTTGAAGACTGGTAAACCTGGAAAGTTGCTGCACTGCACGCTGGCCACATCAGGAGTCATGGCCTTGGCCTCTGTGCCCTCCTTCAGTGAGTAGACATTGTTCATGTTGTTCTGCAGCCAGCGACTGAAATAGGAAATCTCACAGTTGCATTGCCAGACGTTGCTGTGGAGGATCGTGAAAGGCAGAAGAAGGTCCCCAAAGAAGCCCTTCGGTATCATGTGCAGCCAGTTCTTTTGGAGGTAGAGGGTGTCGAGATCCTCCAGCCCATCCAGGAGTCCAGGAGGCAGCTCTTCCAAATTGTTTTCAGAGAGATTGAGCTTCTTAAGCTTCCGTGTGGGTGCCAGAAGCTCTGGGGGCAAAGCCTTCAACCCATTGCCTTGCAGATAGAGCTCTTGGAGTTGGCCCAGGTTGGCCAGGGCCCCTTCAGACAGTGAGGTCAGCTTGTTCCAGGAGACGTCTAGGGTAATGAGCCCTGGCAGTGCCTGCCCTAGCGGGGGCAGGCTTCTCAGCTGATTATGGGATAGAATCAGGGTCTCCAGCCCTGTCAGCTTGTCATCAACCTGCAGCTTGGCCAGCTGGCAGTGATCCAGGTGCAGCTGGGTGAGGTGAGTTAGAGACACCACAGAAGTTGTGGAGAAGGAGCCCAGGGGATTTTGACCCAGGTGCAGGATGGCTGTGTCTGCAGGTAGATCTGGAGGCAGTGTCTTTAGGCCCTGTGTCTCACAGTTCGCTTCTACCTTGCTGGCCACTTTGGATATAGTACAGGTATTCTGGGGATATGAGAGGCTTGGCATCAGGAGCAGCAAGAAGAGGAGAGGCATGAGGACCTGTAGGCAAAGGGGGACCTTGAGTGGATGCCCTATCAGCCACTGGCATGATTCCTCCTGCTCCCAAGTCCTGCTGCAGCCTCCAGGCTCTCTCCACACCTCGTTACATGCCATTGAGTGGGAACCAACTCGTTGCTGACCCTCCAGCAGGTTTTCAGAGGCAGCATATGACATGAGAGGAGATTGCCCATCTTTTTCCCCACAGAGCAGCTGGCAGATTTGCACAGTCAGCACAGTTCCTTACAGCTAAGCCACAAGTGCTCCCTCCTACATATCATACCTTTCCCCAGGTCTTCTGCCCTTTGCTCTCAAAACCCAAACCATTCACTCCTTGGTCCTTGGCACTTACCCCTGCCTCAGACCCTCCTCCTCCCTGTACCCCAGGCCCAGCTTACAGACAGCAGAAAGATCTTCGTAGGCTCAGCGTTATTTCAGCGTCTGTGACTTGGTCCTTCTGTCTTCCAGCCCCAGGGAGGACCTAGGCAGGGGCAGGAAGGGGTTGGTGATGTGGAGGAAATGCTAGCCTGATAAGGTCCCTGTGACCTGGGAGTGAAATCTTCCTCCCTGGCACTGGCCCTTATCATCTCCCTCCACGACTTTCCTCTAAACCCTTCCTGTGGCTCTTTTCTCTCCCACTCTCCTTAGGCTCCCCACATTAATGTTTTTAAAACCTCCTCAACTGCCACCCTCCCCTTTTTCCCCTTCACAGCTACATTCTTTATTGTTAAATGACCTTGAGTGAGTTATGATTCCAGGAAATTCCCATGACTTATAGAGTAGAATTACTTCTTAGGGTTTTCAAGCCTGACATTTCAGAAGTGCATCCCAGTTCATGCCTCTTGGTGAATTTGAACTGGCAACATTTTGGCAACAAGTTGAGTGTTACAGTCTTAGGGTGGCCTGATTTTAACTCTCCACATGCCTCCCCTTCCTTTGCTCCCTGCTGAGCTCCAGGCACTTTCCTTCTCTGTTAACTCAATTATTACATTTGTGTTTGTGTGTGTGTGTTTTAAATAAAATTTTTTATACCAGTTTACTTACAAAGTTTGTATACATTGTTTTTCACACTAGATCTTTCCCATTTCCTTTAACCACCCCTCCCTTGGCCCATCAAATTGTGTGACCCTATAATTATCCCACCCATGCATCCCCCCCCCCCCAAACTCACCTTCATCCCCATTGACTCAATTTCTTAATAGATCATTACTGCCTTGCTTTCCCAGATCTTTTTCAACACAGTGACCCCACTGAATTGCTCCAGTCTGCATGGCCATGGACATGTCCTCCTTTGGCCTTGGTGACACGAAGACTTCCCTGAGGCCCCTTACCTCTCAGTCTCATTTATGGAATTCTCTTCCTCTGCTCTTTCCGAAAATTCAACAGGCCCCCAGTTGATTTTGGGTTTTCCTCTATTCTGTGAGCACTTCATCCAGTTCCTTGCCTTCAGCCACTACTCATACCCCAAACCCACTGGCATTAAGTCAACTCTAACTCCTTGTCACCCTGCAGGACAGAGGGGAACTGCTCTAAGGGTTTCTGAGGTTGTAAATCATTATAGAAGCAGACTGCTCCATCTTAATTTTAACCTTTGTGCCCCAGGAGTGTCTTACCTATATATACCCAGTGACGCAAATCTTATCTCTGGTCCAGACTTCTTGCCTGAGACCCAACAACATATGTCAAATTATCTTTTGGACTTCTCCACTTAGAGATGTTAATAGACATTAAAAGAATATCTTTAAAACACCTTATTAGTTATGGATTGAATTGTGTCCCCACCCCTTCAACTATTTGTTAGAATTCCTACAGATATAACTATAGGCTGTAGTAAATCCCATTTGAAAATAAAGCTTTCATTATTATGTTACTGAGTTTATATGTGTGTAGACGTGTCCTAAATCTAACTGCTTCTGAGTTATAATGAGTGGTGAAGCTCAAGTGAATGAGCACAGACTGGGGAAGACAGATGTCACATGGAGCTCACCAAGGAACTACAGAAGTGGGAGGAAATGAGGATTTCCCCCAGAGCCAAAAGAGAGAGCCTTCCCCTGGAGTTGGCACCCTGAATTTGGAAACCTAGCTTCCTAAACTGTGAGAAAATAAATTTTTGTTCTTGAAAGCCACCAATTTGTGGCATTTCTGTTACAGCAACACTATGATACTAAGAATATCATCTCTCTTCAAATATCTCCTACTGTGTTTCTCCAGGCTAGTGAAGGGACCTTCATCTACTCATTAATCTAGCTAGTTAGTCAATGCAGACAGAATCCCTGATGGTCATCTGTAGATTCTTCACCTCTAAATCCAAGCTGTAACCACAAGTCCTAGGTAAGGCTTTGTGCCAGCCCAAAGGCAGGCAATTTAAATTTACCTGCTCCATGAAAGAAAGATGGGCTATCTCCTCCCATGTACGTTACAGACTCTGAAAGACTGCTGGAGGGTCAGCTGTGAGCTGGTTCTGACTCGACAGCAATGAGTTTTTAGTTTCTTTAAATCTCTCCTGAGGTCACACCTCTCCATCCTCAATGCCAGTGTTCTTACTTCACAGGACATCTTTTCTACTTCACTGCAAGAGCTTCTTCTCGGATCTCCTCTTCTCTCCATTCCCTACCACAATGATCTTTCAAAACAGCAAATTTGTTTCTCTCTTGCTGCTCAGAACTCATCAGAAGCATCTTAGAGCTCCCAGGAGGAAGTCCAGAATTCCCCACAGGGCCTACAAGGTCCTGCATGAGCTTATCCTTGCTGACCAGCCCCATCTCTTTCCTTTCCACTTCTTGAGTTCATACTCTTTTCTTAATCTACCCTTTCCCCTTACTTCTTATCCTCTTATGTCTAATTCTAATTCATCTGGCAAGTCTAGCTCGAATTTCTTCCTCTGGAGAAGAATTTTCTAATTTTCCACATCTATTTATGTCTATTTCCATGTCTAGGTTATGTGTCTATTTCAGAAAATCAGTTCTCTGTCCTTTTAACTAAGGAAACTGCTACAGTCGCCAAATGATACTAAAACTCCACTGGCAGCCATTGTAGTGAAGAGAAGGGAAAGTCAGATGGGAGGCTGTTGATGCCTTTGAGTCGAGATGTTGGAGAAGAGTATGGAATATCTCCCAGACTGCCAAAACTCTATCTTGGAGGAAGTGCAACTAGGTTGCTCTTTAGAGACAAAGATGGTGGAATGTCATCTCACATAGTTTGGACATGTTGAGAAGAAGGTCTAGTCCTTAGGAAAGTAAAGGTGGAAGGTCAGCAGAAAAGAGGAAGACCCTCAACAAGAGAGATTGGCACAGTGACTGTAACAATGGGCGGGAGCCATCAGAGACGGTGAGGAGGGAGCAGGTAGGGCAAGGCTCAGCCTTGTTCATAGGGTCTCTTATGAGGTGACTCATTGGCACCTAACAACAACAACTATCACACAGAAGGAAAACCTAATGCATGAGCCTGCCCTTACATGTTCACCACTATTGACTAGGCCCAGGGTGGATGTTTGAACCAAATAAAATTATACAACTAATCCATAGACTAGATAGATATTTAGTTTGCCATGTGCCATCAACTGACTCATAGCTGTGTAGCTGACCCACCAGCAGGTTTTCAGAGGCAACCAATTGCACAGGAAGAGACTGCCTGTCTTTTCTGGCAGAACAGCTGGTGGATTTGAACTATGTGACTCTGGATGGCAGTGCAGCATCTTAACATTAGGCCACCAGTACTCCCTTATCTACACACACACACACACACACACACACACACACACACACACTCTCTCTCTCTCTCTCTCTATTTGGAAATGTGGAGAACAAGAGACAGAGAGCAGGAAGGTCAAATATTGTGTGGTGAGAAACCATGGTATAGAGGTTAGCTTGGAGAGTTTTTTGTTATTGCTAGGTTTTGAATATGACTCATAGTGACCTTATAAACAACAGATCTGAAACCTGTTCTATCTTGTGTCATTCTCACCAACCCTGAAACATTTGTGCCCATTGCTACAGTCACCATTCAATCCATCTCGATGGGGGTCTTCCTGTCTTTCACTGACCTTCCACCCTTCCAAGCATAATATCCGTTTTCAAGGAATAGCCTCTCCTAGCAACATGCTCAAAGTCTGAGAGACAGAGCTTTGCTACCCTTGCCTCCAAGGAGCACCATGGCTGCACCTTTCCAAGACATACCTGTTCACTAATTTAGACTGAAAAGAAATTTATTAAAAATATGTTGTCCACTTCACAAAATTCTCAGCAAGGGCTTGGGGACTAACTTAGAGCAGTGTAGTCAGGAACCAGACTACAGTTGGGAACCCATCTGGTGAGCAATATTCTTCCTTTGCCAGACCAGGAACTGGAACTCAGCATTACCACAACTTTTACTGCTGCAAAGAGAAGACCCTGCACTATTCTTACTTCTTTGTGGCATTAGTTACTGATTCAAACAGGGCAGGGGTCCAGCTGGCCATGTGCAAATATCTGGCATTTCCAGCTGATGTAGTAAGAGAAAAATTTAGCTTGCCAGTTGGCATTATCGTATGGATAATGACGAGATTGAGATTGTAAACAGCTTTAGTTTGCTTGGCTCCACAACAAACAGTCGTGGCACCAGCAGCCAGGAAGGTAAAAGATGTATTGCAAATTACTAAAGAGCAATGATGTCAGTCTGGAGACTAAGGTACACCCAATACAGGCCATGGTCTTTGCAATCATTTGCTATGCATCAGAGAGCTGGATAATGACTAGGGATGATAGAAGGAGAATTAATGCCTTTGAGCTGTAATGTTGGAGTATTGAAAGTCCCATGAACTTCTAAGAGAACAAACAGGTTCATCCTGGAAAGGGCTAAACCAGACTGCTCCTTGGAGGCAAAGATTCTGAAGCTTTTTTCTGACATGCTTTGGACATGTTGCAAGGAGGGACCAGTCCTTGGAGAGGGATGTCATGCTTGGGAGGGTGAAGGGACAGAACAGGAGAGGAAGAACCTCGATGAGATGGATTGATTCAGTG